GAAATTATATTAAGAAGTTTATACGGAGTTTTTTCATCTTTTCAATCCGACATTCACACTTCCCGGCGAATGACTCGTAAAAAGATCATGTACAGTGACTCACGAAACTAATCAAATGTACTACACAACAATTATCTCTAATTAATTAATTTGAAAAAGGCAATCGACGAAAATAATGTTTCAATATCAACATAATATATAAATATCTATGACCTACAGATATCCTCGTATTTATGAATTTTTAAATGAAATTCGTAACAATGATAGAATTAATTTGATCAGTTTCGTGAGTCACTGTATGTTAAGATCTTTCACACTGTTCATACAAAGACTTATTTATATAGAATGTTGATTATAATAATTTCTATAAACAAATTATCTATTTCTATATTAATCACAATGCAATTCCTTCGTTACGCAAAGAAAGCCTTCGCCGTAAACAGAACTTTTACCGCTTTATCAATACAAGCACGTGTAGCTAAAAGCCTTGACACGGAATTGTAACAAAAGCTCCATTCCCTATTATATTTCCTATTTTGTAGAAGCGCGTTGTACCGAGTGTGTTCAGAGACTCTGTCCTCAAAACTTTCAATGTTTAGTGACGCGATGCGGCCTTGATACAACGTTTATTGTTCACTAACTTTTCAATATCCACTCGTTTTATAAACTCAAGTCTAAAACGAGGTGATGTTTATAACAAATACATTTCGTATGTGGTATACTATCTGGCTTTATCAATAGCAAGAGTATATGAAAATGAAAAGAAAGATTACGCTATATAGAGAAGAAAAATATATAAATAAAAAATAGAGTTATATATAAAAGAATCGTATAATTTGCAACCGTACAATCGGCTATTATTTTCAGCTCGCATTCTGACAAGCGTAATTTTTCCGAATAGGATGAAAGAGGAAAACGGAATAATGCGATTAGCGGGATTCGCCGAGGATTCTAATGATTTTATTTCATCTCATGTTTATCTCTGCATCTCGAGGTAATATTTGAAAAAAATCCGCTTTCTATATTCATATGTACCGATGCTTTAAAATCAACATTCAATATTTATTCCATATTCACTACTCCATCAATGCGCTCTAATTCTCCCATTATAGTCGAAAAAAATTTGTTCCACACATTTTGACACATTTATTCCTTATTTTATCTACCATGTACTACACTAAAAAAAAAATGTATTATTTGCAAAAAAATAGATTTCTTTGAATTTAGTTTCCTTAAAATTCAAAGAAGTATTAAGTAAATTGAAGAAAATATTTTAAACTCAGAAAAGTGTTTTCTTAAATCTATCCAATACTTCTTTGAATTAAAAAACTAAATTCAAAGAAATCTATTTTCTTGCAAATAATAAATTTTTTCTTCAGTGTACAAATGTATTGAAAGCACATATTTGCGCACTCGGTACAACTGATCGGGGAAATGTTAAAATTGCCATATGAAATATACGCGAATTTTCAATTGTTAGTTTCCATTTCAATTATTATTTAAATAGTACAGTTAAAGCGATAAAACATATAAAACATATGTATACATATACTCTTGTATACGTGTTATTCAATAACAAAATTCAATAGCCAAGCTTAATTTTGTGGCTATTGTATCAGTAACATGTTTTTATTGTTTTTCCGTTTTATTCAATAATTTAATGTTACGTTAATAATGTAAAGTTGTCGCAACAAATTGCGGACAGCTTTAGAGCTCTCGGTTATTGCGAGTGATATGTGCATAAATTCGCTACTTTGATAATGTTGAAAAAAAAAATATGATTAATCATCAACATTGCGTTTTGTGCATGATTCATTATAAATGATAAATTCGATATAAATGATAATATGAATAATATTGGACGACACAAATGTACCTCCATTCGTTAGTACTTTCACCATCATTAACACATTGCTATGGTGAACATTCGTGACTGGCGCTTGACTTTGATTGACAGTGATCATTATAGTGATTCGCGTTATCGAAATTTTTTAAAATATTTATAAAGAAATACCACTTAATATAAAATTTTAAATAATATATATAGTTATTAAATAACAACGTAAAATAAAAATTACACAATTCAACATACGTAAGAATATATTGTTATTTAATCATATTACGCAGAATTATCATTATATGCTTACGATAACAAAAATTCTACTGTGACGTATACGATAAGATATACAAAACTCGTTAGTATCGTAACAGATAGGTACCGTGTTAATTCGAAAGAAATATAGAAAGCAATCGATTCTTTCGTTTTTCCGATTTTGACATATCGATAATGCGTCTTCGATGTTCTTCCTTTTTTCCCCTCCGTCTTAAGTAGTTATCCTGTCCGAGACACGCTGATACGATCAGCACTGATTTGAATGGCAATTGATGCCGGCAAAACCGCACTGACGTATTGCTATAATGCGCGGGCACCGGCGATAAAGTGTGTGTGCGCGCACGTTGCGTCGTGATAAAGTACCGGTTGATCGATTGCGACGGAGGAAGAGCGCGATAGGGTACCTGAGACGGGTCGCATATGGGATAAGAGGAAGATGAGAGAAAAAAAAGGGGGCGGAGAAGCGAAGGTGGATGGCGAGCGCCAAGAAGCGGCGCAAAGTGCGACAAGAATATGCGGGAAGAGGAGGGAAAATCCGGAGAGTGTGAGGATATTACGAGAGAGGAGGTCTATCGCGATCTCTGGAGAGTATCGATAGGTTCGGAATACCGAAAGGTCGTCGGACGACTATCGGGGCGTTACGGTGATCGTGATAAGTGTTCGCTTAAGGGACCAACGAAGGAACGGAGCGACGATACATCATCGACAAATCGCCGAACTGCGATATAAGATGAAACATATATAGTGATTGGATTGATATTATGCGAAATACAAAATATCTAGCCGCGTTTTTTTTTCAAGCTAAATGGACCCACAAAAAGAATCAATGATAAATGATATCGTTTAATTCGATACTTCGACACAGGCGATTTAATCTTGAGATGGTATCAGCTAGCTGTTCTTAATGATCACGGCTGCTGTCCAAAGTCCGGTCAAAGGTTTGCGATGTCAAAGAACTCGAGGAGGCACATAGCGTCAAAGGATGGTCGATTCTGACAAAAAAAATGTCTAGAGAAAGAGTAGTTGGAAGAGAGAGGAGAGTATTTCGACCGAAACAAGTTTAATGATGTAAGGGCGAGAGTTTGCGCTTTGTGCTCCCTCGCTTCTTCTGTCTGCCTGTAGGAAACCTAGTGGAAGATCACGGTAATAAGAGTCGGGAACTCTAAAACGGACCGATAAAGACGAAAAGAGGCGAAATAAAAAGAGACCCAATTGGATTGGGTTACGTTTTGTGACGATTTTGTGACCGTCGCCGCGCGTGCGAAATACGTTTTAATCGGATCTCGCGTTAACCGAGACACTGGGTTTCGATCACGTAGCCGGAGCACGGGTGCCGCAGCGCCATTATCTCGGTGCACGTGCCGATAATCAAACGCTTTAGTCGGCCGTAATTAGGCGGGCATGTCCGGTGCGCAACGCGTCCGCCGTTAATGATGCAGGTATTACGCGCGCAGGCAAGTCGCGGCTGCCATGTAGACGCGGGCGTGCATCGTTGCGCGACGATTTTACGTCGGGCTCTCGGGGACCGCGCGGTTCCCTCGGTTCTCTCTGTCTCGCCATTTTAATTGCACGTTAACAGCTGTCGACCCCGCTCGCTATCGGAGACTCGTTAACACGACTGCCACACGTCCACCACTTTGCCGCCACTTCGACCCGGTGTCATTAACGGCGCGCAACGAGTGCGACGTAGATATACGTTCGTATCGTCCACCTATGTGGACACCTGTATATATGTATGAGCGCGCGCGATCGATTTTCGCAAGTCCTCCATTAAAACTTGAATGTCCTTGTGAAACAGACGTCCCGGACTTTTGGCGCAGTTCTCGCGCAGCCGGTCGTCGAGTCGATTTGCTAGCGGGCACGCGCATTAGAAATTAATCGCGTAATTCGGCCATGCGCGAGAGATCGATGGCATTTAGCCAGGCGTAACGGGTATTTACTGCCCGTGCGTGTTAATCATGACATAAACGGTACCAATTACGTAACACCGGATCAAGGGAGATACGTGCGTGTAATTACGGAAGCGGAAGGGACATAAATGATCTTGCGATCGGAGACAAAGCTTTATCGGAATCATCATTATATGTATAAGGCAGAATTTTGCTCGATAAAAACACTACGATAGATAAATAACATTGTGACAACTAATATCGGGAATCTATTTTTATACAATTTTTAGTTCAATTAAAATTGGATTGGCTGTTATTGAGAAAGCTTCTTTTTAATTTTTTACACGAATGGCGTCAAAAATCAAGTTCTTAGTTCAGTTAAATTTTATATTAAAGTTCGATTATAATTTATCAAACGTAAGATTTAATTACACAGAGCACGCCGTTTACTCTAGAGAATTTATTAGATTCTTAATTATTAAAATTGGATCAATCGGCAGACTGTCTGATTAGCGGAGCCTGCATAAGTCTTGAATATGTCAGTTTGAAGGGTCATATCTCAACGTAGCAGGGTGTAAATTTGGACCTATTATCGGTGGCACGTCAATATTGTATAACGACGGGGGCATTGGCAGCGCCAGTGCGCCAGGCATCAAGTTTAATCCGATCGCCGGGTACAGTTACGGTATACGTCATGAATCACGTTCCATGGTTGCCTGACTTACATCGTTGTTACAAACCTCGCATTCTTACTCGAGAGCTAAATCTTTTCTCGATACGGAATTCGGAAACTTTCCAAGAGTTAACGGCTACGGTTCGGTAAACATACCGAAGTTTACAAGCTTAAGATACAAGCTTTATAAAGTTATATAGGTTTTTCTACTATTAAAACTTTCACTTTAATCTCAAGAGCGTAGCAGAATTCTTAAGCATACTTATTAGCACGCTAAGTAATCGGAGGTACTAAAAAAATAGTATTATTAACATTTTTGTGTTAGACTGGGGGGAAATTCACAGCCGGCATTGGTGTACAAAATTTCGGCAGTGGACTGAAAAAAGTAAGCAGTGGCCTATAATATTGACGGCATTGTCGTCAGTGGTTGAGGAGTGGTAATAATGACTTGTGGCAGTGGCAGTGCGGGAGGTATTGCAAAGCATTGCTAAGGCAGTGTCCGAATTTTATCCGGCATTGGGTCGGCAGTACGGCAGTGGGAACGCTCCCTACTCTTATTCCCGCTTATTCCTGAGTATGCGCATGGCATGTAGTAATGACAAACGGCACCCCGCGCTTGCAGCAGCGTACAGGCAAAACAATAACGGACTTTTATGTGTATAATTAGCAAGTTTTCGTGCCTGATAGTGGATTTAAAGTAGTGCGGTTAACAAAATTAATATGGGTAAGTATAATTTGCTCATCTTTAATAGTGTAGGTGATAGGTTAAATTCCTAACCCCATAACTAAGGGCGCACGAGCAGTTTGTGCCGCGCGGCAGAGTACTCTCTCTCTCTCTCTCTCTCTCTCTCTCTTTCTCTCTCTCTCTCGCTCTCGCTCTCGCTCTCTCCCTCTCTCTCTCTCTCGGGAAAGAGACGTCGCGCGTCGCGTGAGATAGAGAGAGAAAGAGCACTCTGCCGCGCGGCACAAACCGCTCGTGTGCCAGCGCTCTATCACCGCTAAGCCTCTTTTTTTCAATTTTGATTTTATATTTCAGAGAATGCATGTCCGACAACCAAAACTTTACCATCCGGTGAACCTTCGGAAAAAATCACATTTGAGTCTTTGATTGAAAACAAATTTCCGAACCTTCCAAATAGTATATTAATGTTAATAAATTACTGTGGATGGAACTCTTTATCTCAGTTCCAAAACATCACCGATGCAGATATTAACCAAATGGAAAAATTTGCTCAGGAAGAATTATGGCAGCTCCTTTCAAAAGAGGAAACTGAAACTTTTTACGGCATTTTCTTCAAAAAACCTATGCTGTTTAAAATTCTTAACGGGCACAGAAACTTATTGATTAGCATAAAAAATGCATGTGTGGAATTGTGTGGTGGAGAACATTTAAAATTAAGTGGGCAAACCTGCCGCTGTAAATGTAGAAGTAAAGACAGAAATGAAACTAACAAACCTTACAAACTAAAACAAGCCTCTTCGCGTCTTCCTAATTTGTCAAATCCAGTACCTCGCTCTCAAGCGAAAAATAATGCAGCTATAACTGAAGATGAAACTCATATACTAAACATAAGTCGTAATTATATCAAAGCTTTTTGTAATAAAAAATTAAAGGAACAGGAAGCTGCCCAAATTTTGAACAAAATTAATAAATTGAAAGTTGACGTAATTTTTGAAAATCCTGAAGAAGATCCCCTGTTTGCCCACATAACTTGTATTATTTGCGAGCAAAAAATTAAAGTCAGCGTGGCTATTGGAAAGTATGGACGGAAATGGATTTGTTCAAATTTCAATTCTCATTTTAAAACCCATTTTGAAGGAGAACTAAATGGATCGGATAAATTGAAACAAAAGCCCACACAAAAATCCCTGCAAACTGTCTCAATTCTAGAATTTGTAAATGTCAAAAATCCAAAGAAAAATGTTACCAGTGCCGATACAATAGATCTGGATGACGTATCTACAATAAGTGGCCCTCTAACTAGTCAGTCTACTTTGGAAACTAACGCTGATCTGGAGTCCAGCCTCCAAGATCATGTTACGGAGCGAGAAAATGCTGTCGTTTATCGTTCTGTAGGTGGAAGTCCCTCTATTGCAGAATTCAATAGTGATTCTGACCCCAATTTAAACAGCACTAGAGCGTCAGATTCTAACGACTTAATAACTCAGGATTTTTTTGAGAACGGTAGAACTTTCCATGAGGCGGGGAATTCTGCCGTTTCCTTAAAGCCTCGTAACGTTATTTTTACTGACACTCCTAAAAAATCAAAGTGGCAAGATGAGAAATATTCCCGTCGACAAAGAAACTGTAGAAGACTAGAATGGCTTTCAAAAGATCAAGCAAAAATTACATCTTTCTTTGAAATAAAGGAACATATGCAACAAATACTTGCAGAGAACACTGAAATTGGAAGCACAATTATAAAGTCATGTAAAGATAATTTTAATATGGAAAATATAAATATGAGTAACTTTTTGACAGTTCTTATGACTTCTGCGCAAAATAACAGCAGTTGTTCTTCGAATCACAATAGGTTCACTGATGAGTTGATAAAGTTTTCTTTGTACTTATTCATAATTGGAGGTAAACTTACTTATGAGACTTTAGAAAGCAATTTGAAGAATGTTCTTCCATCTCTTTCAACTTTAAAGAGAACGTTAAATGAAAATGTAACTGTGCAAGAGGGCGTTCTTTATATGGCTAATTTAAAAATGTATCTGAATGCAAGGAAACTTCCATTAAAAGTATTTATTAGCGAAGATCAAACTGCAGTGTTGAAGAGAATTCAGTACGATCCAAAGTCAAACAAACTTGTTGGATTTGTGCTTGACAAAAATGACGAAACCGGCTTTCCTTTAACTGAAAAATTTATTGTGAATTCAGCCTGGGATATACAGGAAGCGTTTCAAACAGGCATTTTATCCAATAATGCTTACGTTTTTATGGCGCAGCCTCTAGAAGAGAAAGTACCAGCTTTTTGTCTTTGCATATTTGGGAGTGACAATAAATTTACCTACAAAGAAGTAGTACACAGATGGAATTTCCTGATACAAGAGGCTGCAAAACTTGGAATTGTTGTAGAGGGTTTTTCCTCTGATGGCGATACCCGTTGCTTGAAAGGAATGAAAATATTTAGTAATTTTCCAGATCAAAATGCATCCAATGAGCTTTCTCCATATTTCCAGGTAAGTAACTTATTTTTGTTTATGTATTGGCAATTAAATAATACCGTTTTCAATTTTTTAGATGCCTTTTAACACCGATAAGGCGACAGTAATTCAAGACACAGTACATATCCTCACAAAAATGAAGACAAGGCTTTTAAAACCAGGATTAACTATGAAGCTGGGATGTGAAAATATTTCTTCAGAACATTTAGAGGAAATGGTTGACAAATATCATAAAGACACCCATTTATTATGTAAATCGGATTTGAATTGTAAGTACTGATTGGTTAGTTACGATAATATTTCATAGTGTACCAAATACATATTTCTAATCCTACTAATCAATTATTATATTCTACGATGAGGACCTCAATTATCCATAATTGAGATCCTCATTGTAGAATATAATAATTGATTAGTAGGATTTGGCATAGTTGTAGACATTCGTTTTCTGATTACTTTTTATTAAATTATAGCTCAAGATAAAATGAACTTCGATGCCGCAAAGAAAATATCTTCTGATAAAGTGAGAAACACTTTAAAGCAGATACCTGGTAGCAAATGCACTATTCAATACCTGACCCTAATGAATAAAATTGAAGAAGCCTTCCTAAACAAATCATTAACTTGTTCGGATCGAGTTTATAATATGTGGTATACAATATTTTTTTTGAGGGCCTGGAGACATTGGCTCTACATAAATAAGATTGTTCTCAAGAACTTTATAACTTCAAATACGTATACATGTATAGAGCTTAATGGTCATGGACTTATTTTACTACTAATCAAACTAAAGGATAACCCAGAACAGTTTTTACCCTGGTTCTTTTCAAGCCAAACTTGTAAACGAATATTTCGTCAAACAAGGTCAATGACGAGCACTTACTCGACAATTGTAAATTTTTCTATACTAGACCTTTTGCGAAGGCTGTCCAGAATTCAGATGATAAACGAAATCGTCACTGACTTAGGTATGTCTTTTATATACTACAATATAATTCAATTTTATTACTCTATTATTATTTTATTACTTTTCCTATTACTTTATAACTCATTTTAGGAGATTCATTTATCTTTCCGAGGGAAAAGTGCTCGTCAAAATTGGGAAATACAGCAGAAAAAGATCGTGGAAAATTAATAACACTTAGTGAAATCAAAGATATTCTTTTCCGCGCTAAAGCTGACGCACTAACTGATTGTCTTGCGTTAGGAATAAATGCTACAGAAGAAGCTTTTTATACGATACATATAAAACCAGACTCTGCTGATTATTTTGATCAGGAAGACAACCTGAGTGAATCTGACAGCGACGAGCATAGTATATCACCAAATGAAAATTCAGAGTATATTTCAGAAACAGACCTCAATGATATTACTGAATCTAAAACTATTTTTCAAAACATGGATCATCTGGATCTGAAAGATTTTAGTCAAACTCCAATTAATAATAAATTAGTTTTAAAAATAAAACTGAAGACTGGCAAAACTATGACTATAAAAAAATCAACCCTTTGCTGGTTTTTTACCGAAAACAAAAGTCGTTTGTCTGCCGACCGGCTAGAGAGAGTAAAGGGAATGGGCTCTCAAAAAACCCTTCCAAAAACAAAACGTTTAAAAAGTCAAAAGAGAATAAAGAAATCTATAAAACCAAAGAATAAAAAAAGTAAATTGGAAGAGAAGCAAGTTGAAGAAAGTGAGACGGAAACTGAAGATGACTACATTTCAGAATTTGAAAGCAACGGCAGTGAACATGTGGCAGAACACAGTAGCTCTGATTCGGAAGCCCCAAAGAAGCAACAAATAGCCATTGTTGAAGAAAAATACTACGCGGTATACTATGATGATCAGTGGTACATAGGAAGAATAATAAAAATCGAAAAGACAACGTGTCAGATAAAATTTTTGTACCGAAATTTGGACAGTTTTAACTGGCCCAAACAAGAAGACGTGCAACATGTCAAAAAATGTTATATTTTTTATGGACCTATTTCGCTTTTAGGTTTAAGTCCATTCAACCTTAAAAGATACGACTTGTGTGCAATTGAAAAAAAGTACAAAATGTTTAAAAAAGATAAGTAATTAACAAGAATGAAAAGTTTATTTTTATTATTTTTATTATTATTTTTAGTGTTCTATTGTTTATAGTTATAATATGCATAAGGCATCACATAATAATGTGCAGTTACATTTAAATGTAAAGAATGTTTAAAGTTCTACTGTACTTACAATTAATGTTCTACTGTTCAAAGTTAGGTATACCTATGCATAAGACATCACATAATAATGTGCAATTACATTAAAATGTATGGATACAGTTCGTAAATAAAATTTTTTGGAGTTTTTTGTACAAATGTGTAGAATACTTTGAGAAAGTTTTAGGATTCTTGTGTAGGCATTGGCGTATGATAATGGGCAGTACGCGGCAGTGTTCATAATTGCATGGCATTGCCTTGATTTTAATATAGGATTGACGGCATTATAGGCATTGACTAAGCATTGTCGGCAGTGTACGAAAATGTCGGCAGTGTTTTACAACAATGCCAAAAATCAGCATTGGTGTACAAAATTTTGGGTTGTGAATTCCCCCCCATGTTAGACATAAAATCGATCTCTTTTGTGTGAAAAAAAATGCAAAAGAATGTTTAAAATACCAGAAATATATTTAATTGTTTCTTAAATAGGCTATATATGTAGAGATTAGGGTAATATGATAATATATAAAATATGTTCTCAAAATAAATTGTGTAGGTATGTATGTCAATGGTGCAATAATAATAGCTTCAAAAAGCACTTTATTCCTGAAATACATTTGTTTATGTCAACGTTAGCGCATCAATATACTGTATCAAAGTGGCATATAGCGCGTGAATATTTCCCAAGTTAAGGAACAAAATTTTTAAATATAATTCGATCGTTAGAGCTAATCGCAACTTTAAAATCTATTCATAAACTTGTGCGATTATGTCCGAGGTATGTGTCAAGCATTGCCTACAAAAAGTTAATGATGCTTGTCATTTTTTACTCAAGGAAATGCACGCTGCAAGCGTGATCCGTGGACATCGGCGAAGAGACCCAACGTCTCGTCTCCGCTCGTTTCGTAGTTTTCCTTCCGGAAGAATACGCACTAGATGCTCGTTCGTGAAAGGGAAGAGTGCGCGCCATGCGACGAAGTTGGCGCTGCTTTTGTACCGTTTGGGAGCTTCTGCTCCTTTGCGCGAGGAACAAAGAAATAGTTTTCGCAATTTGAGATGCAATTTGACCCTTAACTAAGTTCCGCTGCGCGGAGCGCTGCAAGAATATTGTGTACCTCGCGATTGTATTTTTAAACAATACGTCATCGAAGGAAAAAAAATGTATTTTTAGATCTTTTGTTTTATTAAGTACTACATTCGTTGGATTTTATTGTATAAAAACCAATATAATTTTTTGCTGTTGTATCTTTGGCTGTATTCCGATATTCACTATCAGTACTGAAAATTTATATTTTTCTGTATTTTACGTATACAGAAAGAACAATTTTGCTGAAGTATCTAAAAATTTAGCTAAATACAAATCTAAAAATAATTTTATTGGATCATCAAAATAGAACACTCAAGTAGAACACTCAAACTGATAAATTTCAAAATTTGTTATAGCATTATCATCATGCTTCAGCGATCTATACTATAAGTATTTTAATAGTGCAACAAAATTATTTTCAGATCTATCTATATAGTTAAATTTTTTAATATTTCAGCAAAACCGTTTTTTTCGTATATAGATTTTCAGTATACTGATGACAGTTGCTGACAGTATATAAATATCGGAATTCAGCCTAGGTATATTAAGCGATGAATTATAATGCGTAATTATAAATAAATGACGGAATTAAATAATTTTATTACGTCATCGTACATTTCATGCAACCTAAGATATTATATATTAAGACACATAATCGATACCTTTAATACTTTTGCCCATTTTACAGCGCAGTTAAATAAATAAAGCCGCTTTTCGCGCACCGATGCACGTGATGCGCGGTTGAAACTTTCGAAACTATTGGGGAATCCAAGGAACTACCAATTCGTTGAGGAGCGAACACGTCAACAAAGGTGTTACCGCCTCAAATTCGACGAAGCATTAGGAGAGTCCCGAGGTACAATTGTTCCGCCAACTCCCGGGCTGCAGCATCAAGATCCGCGCCCGTTCGAGTCAAAGACAACTCCGAGTCAAAGTTCTGCCGTATTATGAAGCTGACACGGACGACAACGCTTCTAACGGGGTCTGTCGCGTTTATTTGCATTTCGTGTCGCGAAACTATTGTCCGTGCATTCGGAGAGCGCGCAACACGCGCTCCAAACCCGTACCACTTCGGTATGTGCCGGCACTGACGAAGCCCGTAAAAGCGGCTCCAGGCTTACGATACTGGGTGTCCCTGACATATCACACTTTATCTCACAATCAGCGAGAGACAGAGATGATAGAAACAATAAATTATACTTAATCCCTCTCTTTTTTTTCTATTAAAATCAATACGTTAAGGGATTAATCACTAGGTCTATTAATCCGTAATAAATTATATACTTGTGAAGAAAACACGTTATAAATCTCGGATGCGTTTCGAGAAATATTATTTTGAACAAAAAATATAATAATTTAGTAAATAAATATATAATAAATCAATTTAATAAATAAAAATGTAATACAATTATTTAAAAATATTATAATTAGAGTATCTAGATTTATAAGATCTGCAAAAATCTACTATTTCTTCAAGAGATCAAAATATGTATGATTTAAATTCTAAATAATATTCTAAATTCCCTTCTCAACCTACTGCATCATGTTATTGATTCAATAACAGCATTTCGTTGCAATTCTAGCTGTCGCACGAAAATCGCGTTTTTGAAATGTGTCAAAATAGAGTACATCAGAACCAATCTTAATTCGTTTCCTCTTGCGAACTATTCAATCCATCACATTTTCTGTGTAATTTCTTTTGTTACTCAAATAGTTTTTAGGAGATAACGTGATTATATATATATATATATATATATATATATATATACACGTGAAACCTCGCGCTCCCTATTTCGCGTTGATATATATATATATATATATATATATATATACTCGTGAAACCTAGCGCTCCCGATTTGACGTTGATGATTAATAAATATAAGTATAGTGAAAAGTGCAGTTGTGTATGTGTGTGTGTGTGACCGCGCGGTGATGAAGCCGACCGCAACGATGAGAAAGATTGTTTCGTACATAGCGGGTGCACACGCGATAATTTGTGGTATTATCACGTGGCGTGGAGGCTCATATAGTTCACTTATCTAGTGAATTACTACAGATTATTATACTCAGCCATTCAACATTTATATGGCCAACATTATATTTGTATATAAATATGTATATGTATGTGTGTATATGTACGTGTATAGATTATATTATATACATGTCGATGATGCTTGGGTGAAAACTGTGTCAAACATTGCTAGGCCAGATTTACGGCGTCAAGATAACCGGCACAGCCTGCCGCGCGTGTCCAGCACCGGTCCAGCAATAAATAAATCCCGCGCTGTTAGGGCAAATTTTTCTGTACCTCCACGACGTGCATAGCCGAGCGGTAATGTACGAAAGGCAACGATTTACGACCGTTAATCCGCGAGCCAGCGCACGCGCGCGTCATGTTTCCTGGCGTCTATAACGAAAACAGCGCCCTTCGTCCTTTGACGGTAATTCCTTTGACAGTGTAATCTACAAAGTTCGTACTGTATTAGAACATCGACTGATGGAAGGATTTATTATGTGCATACATCGTGGAAAATAAGGGCAGAAATAGAATTTCCAAATTTTCAAAGAGTTACACATAATGGATTGATTTTTACAAACTGGGTCACGTTATGTAATAAATAATTAATAATACGTTATATGTATCGCAGACATTAAAACTTATTCCAATATTCGTGTAATAAAAATGTATTTTTTTAACTCGCAATATATTACATATGTATATCACTTATATATAAACGAACATCGAACTAAATAAATTTATTGTCCTATATGATCGAGCTTAAAAAATTCTAATCTTCAATTACGATTGATAGTTTTGGTAATTCTATGTGGGGTTTTAAGAAAATAAACTATCTAAATAATTATATACTCCGTTAACCTATTCAACGATCGAATATAATGCACAGTCTCGAAAAGATTCTTTCAGAAACAATCGATAAAACGCGTAACATTATCGTCTATCCTGAATAGGAGAACATCGTGTATCTGTACTGTTAATGCTATTATATGTAGCCCTTCAAAGCAAGCACTTTGATGGATGTTTCGCATTAGGCGTACACGTTTGAAGTGCGAGCTCTTAAAGCCGCGCGCAACACCAGCCGATCCACTCTCGGCGAGCGTGACGAGATCGATCGTTTATCCACCGTTCCTTTTTCGCGTGTGCCACGGCGCGGCGTGCACTTGGTCAAATGTGTGTCGAATGCGTGGGTTCGCGCGCGTGGACCGCGCTTAATGACTGTATTTACAGCTCGCTTAACCGTGAACCGGTTGTATATGTATGTACGCGCGTGGATCGGGTTAGATCAACGTGGGCGCGACGGACGGGCGGCAATTGGAGCACACACCGGCTTTCCCGACACTTCCGCGTTGATTGAAGTCAACGGATGAAAGCAACGTACGGTAACACGCGCGCGCGGTATCTGTCTGCGATATTGTGGGCATCAGCAACGAAAAATTGCATGCCGTTTCAATAGAACTACAAATTTCCCGCGATTGCCGAGCCGGCGTCAGCTGGTAATTGAAAACAATCCGATTTTGTAAACGTTTCGCCACGATTTCGCCCAGCATAACTACAGTCAGTGTCCGTCTGCGGTCCCGCGGCTGTTTCATCGCGGTAAAATATTTTCGCTATATACAGTAACATGTTTTCGCGGATTGGCCATTGTAATATCATCCACCGGTTGAATCTAATTGTAAGAGCACATCAAAATTGTTTGTGTTCAAGTACATCAAGTATATCAAGTATATCAAGTATATCAAGAATATCAAAAGCAGTGCGGATCTCATAACATATAATACAA